GTCGCCGGACAGCTTCCTCCGCGCCTGGGTGAGATCGATGAGATCCGGAAATGGAATGTACGGACTCATGGGACATACATATGCTCCCAGCCGCCTTGAGGTCGACATCGAGGAGTGCACTCTCACCTGCGACCCGACCGCTTTCTCCAGCATTCTAGAGAGATCGATTGTTTCCGATCTCAGAGATTGGACATGGTTCTCCCGCGGAATAGGTCATTTTCACCCACGTCACAACTTGCGACGCTGAAACGACGCTTACGTCAGACTGCTTTCTCAAATGCCCATGTGGACTGAGTGACTCAGGATTTCAGTCAGAAGACAATCATGATTCTCATCGGCGGGATCAGTGCCTAGGAGTCGCCGATGCGGAAATTCCTTGCTAAACATAATTGTTTTTCTTTCTTCATCATCGCCGTCTGGAAATCCAGTTCTAGAATCGGAATCTAAGTCGGTCTGTCACTCTAGAAATCCTCTGGGTCCAATTAGAGCCAGTCACATCACCTTGGTTACCCTGGTTCAAGAAGACTCAAGGGACAGCAGGAGGATGGGAGGAAAGTGGATCCAGAGCCGAGGCTGTCGACTGTCGCGCACTGCTTTCACCCGCAGCCGCTTTTTAATTCAATATGGCTCCGATGCCCAACTCGATCAAATTATTCAAACACTCTCCACGTCGTTACCGTCGGCGGCTTCGCGACGAGGAGATTCCTCCACGCTCTACGATGTCAGCTCATAGCTGATCCTTACAGAAAGACGAGTGCACAACCGCTCATACATATAATAATGAATGCGAGGCGGATCTCCCCCGTTCGCATCGGGTCGTATGCATGTCGATGAACGATCGCGCATATTTCGCTGATCGAATGGAAAATCGGAGCTTCCCAGCCCAAAATCAAACATCCACGGAAGGAAACGAGCTCATAGGGACGATTCCCCGCTTCGGTATCCAGAGTTTGCACTCACTCCGACCGCGCTCTCCCACGGTACCGGACTCTAGCTAAAACGTGTCGCCCACCCTACCAGGAGAAGACCGACCGCAGAACTCCGCAATGGAAGATCTCGCTTCCGACCAGCGGCTCCGGAAAACAGCCTCAGAGTGCTGACTGCGATCGAAAGATTTCGAACTTCAATCCACCCGAGCCCGAAGCGCTCTTTCTCAAGTTCGGGACTCCTCAATGGACTGCTTGCGCGAGCCTCCACAAGCGCGAATCTCCGGCCGAATGAGGTCGGAAGTTTTCGCGGCCGGCTGAGTCGACGCGCAAACGAAATCTACGTAGGCACTCATGAAAACGCCATTTCGGTATGCCCTAGGTTAGAGTGAAACTTGAAACAAATCTCGGAGGGGATGTCTGAGCGTGAGAGCGCCGGCAGAACACGAAGGAGACACGCCTGTTCCGAGAAGAGAGCTCGCTTTTTTAGTTTTATTCTCATCCAATTACTAGCGAAGTGGCTGCCCGAGAGCAGGCGATTTTCGTAAGCTGACAAGCAATGATCCCCTTCTCCCGTCTGAGCTAATGGTGTTATCCCTAGCGTAGGCTCAGGGAGTCCACTCGGTCGCCGATTAGCCGGCGCTGGAAATAGAGCATCGCTTACACCTGTCAAAGTTTGTGCGACACGCACCGGAAGATACGTCGTGAAGAACGAAGGATGCGTTGTCGGGTCTAGTTCCTCAACGCCTCGATGGAAATGTCCTTCCAGCCCTGATCGAAAACAGATTGAATTAGACCTTCAAATTGGGCGCCCCGGAGTCGATGCAACTCCCGAGGCTCTGTTCTCGGGGCAGAAATTGCCTGTTGGTAGACTCTGATGATCAACTCGAGGTCGGCTCAACTAAAAATTTGAGAGAGAAAGAGTCAAAAGTGAAAGATTTCGCCCCATTACGAGGAAGATCACGAGAAGCAGCCCAACGAGAGCGCTGTTCTTCGAAAATGTCAATGATCCCTACGGGGTGGCACTCCTGAGCCTTTAAGAGCACGATGACGACTGAATGTTCCCGAAGCTGCTTCCAAATTCCCATCCTTGAGTCATTGCTCGTGCATGAGTCTATCTCCATATCTCGAGATATCCCGGCAGGCAATGACTCGGGAACTGCGTAGCGGGAAAGCCCTGCAGCGGTTACGATGACGACCTGCCGGACACGCCGTCGGGTGAAAGCGTGACGCCTGCGGGCTTAGAAACCGGTGTCAGCCCCGCTCGGCAAGAGCTGGAAGGCAGGCGGGCAGACCCTATCTCTCAGCGACAGAGTCAGTGACAATTTATCCGATTGCGAGAGGCAAGCTACCTCTGCGTCGTTTCTCAATTTGCAACCAACCCGGTAGGGTGTCTCAGGGAAAGAAGCTCGGGTATGGAAGGAAGGCTAGTTTCTAAATCAGTTGCACGGACGGTCGCTCGTTGACTGCGCTGGTGGGCCCTCTGCATAGAAGTGTTTGCCTAGCTCGGCGATGACATCATTGCCGCGACCGACGTTCCCGTATTATGTGGCTTCCCCTAGGCTTCCCAAACGCTTGTCCGGTCGGCTGAGGCAGTCTCGCCTCCAATCGCGTCGGCCCGAGGTGGTTGACCAGAATGCTGACGCTGGCGGCTGGCATCCGCTCTTTAGAACAGGCGGATGGCTTTCGGGAAAGCCTCGCGACGTCACAGCGACCTCCTCTCGAGAGCTAGTGCGTCGTGTTCAAGGCATGCGTCCAAGACGGCGGCTGTTTAGAGATCGTTTTGTGCGGACACCAGGAAACGTCTTCCCTGATCCGTCGAAGTTGTTTGAGCCCTCGTCGTGAAGGAAATAATTGGTTCGACCACCATGGAACAATACCAATTACGTAGAGAAATTCTATTCGATGTTAATTTAAACGTGATGCGGCAACTTATGGGTGTTATACGTGACTGATTATTTGATTATGGAACAAAATCGCGCGAATCAGACCTTCTGACTCATCAATGAGCGAAGCATGTAGAAGTGTACAACATACAATGAACACCAATAGAATACCGCGAACGTGTCATGCTTCGCATAGATAAGGTGTCCGGCGTGATTTCAAACCTTTCCCGGATCGGGTATAGTCGTAGAGTAAGGAGGTGCTCTCACCAACGGCTGAGCAGTGGGTTTAAATTTCACCCATTTTCGATGGTCTGGATGATTTGTTTCTCGAGAGCCTCAGTAGGTATTCCAATTCTGAGAGCGCGTTCGATTCGCCTCTAGTGGAAAAAATGCGGTCGCGCAAGACCAGCGCTACGGGCCCCTTCTCGTCGAAGCTTCTTGCACATGGTACACCGACTCCCCGCGGAATACGATTTCGATAACGTGCTGCCTCGGATCGAGTCTGTCTCAGGTTTCTGAGCACAGCGATTCGACCTATGAACGAGCCTACAATTCACTTTCCGTAATATGAAAAGACTCTCCGCGGCTAAAAATTCCACCGGAGCAGCTCGGACGACGAGACGCACGTCTGAAAATCGAAATCCAGAAGTCCTGCGAGTAGCCCGCTCTTCAGAAGTCAATGATTCGGCATGGAAGTCTGCCGAGCGACTCTCTCGTGACACGGAGCATGAGCGATGATTAGGTACTCGAATTCAAGTTCATGCGGAGTGCGATCTCCGTAGTGGACCAGCTCGACCCCTCTCGGGCTCCTATCTTGGTTACAGCATGACTCCGATACAAACGATCCGAAGGAGAACATGACAGTGGATGCCTCGAGCTCGGAGGGCGGCCCCGATGAATGTCGACGCGAGAATAAATTCGTCCCGAAACCTCGAAACCGTCGCGAAGAACTTTTGGGCGCTCCACGGGTCGGTAGGCGCCCGGTGGCTCAGCGAGTCGATATTCTAGTCGGCGGACGCTCTTCTGGGATATCAGTGGCGAATATCTTACCAAAAATTACGCAGACCGCTTATCTTTACGTTGTTCCGCCGATTCGGCTACGACGGAATCGGTGCGAATGAGCCTCGCACGAAAGTGCGCCAGATTAACCTATACCGAAACCTGCCTATCGGTGAGCGGCGGATACCGCGCGGAACACATTCTAATAGGTCTCATGAGAAAATTCGCCGCTCGTGTGTAGAGAGAACAGCTGACTCCCAGTCTTGTTCAGTCTTCTCGCTCGGTTGGTCTACCCACCCGCTCGCCCATCTATCCGACGCTTGGCCGCTCGCTCGTTCGATCCATACGTCTGTCGGTCGGTCGGTCGATCTGTCGCTCGGTGAGAGAGTTGACATCGTAGTAGCAAGGCTCACACTAAGGCAGTCGGACAGGCTGGCTGGCTGGCTGGCTGGCTGGCTGGCGGGCAAGCAAACAAACAGCCAGACGGGCAGATAGGCAGGCAGGCAGTCGGCCGGGTGAGCGGACGCTTGGTCTGGCGGGCGGCAGGCGGGCGTTCGGTCGGTCGCTCGTTCGTTCGTTCGCTCGCTCTTTTACTCACTCGCTCACTCACTCATTTGGTCGTCCAGCGGCTCGTTCGCTTCAGCAAGCAGGCAACGAGTCCGTCATTCACTCAGCTCGTCTCCTCCGTTCGCGAATGAGCAGTCCTTACGCGCACCTTCTGCGCTTGACTGTGTCGACAGTCTCAACGTTGTTATTGTCACCGTTGTCGTCGTTGTTGCTCTAAAGGTCGTTGTCGTGGTGAGAGTGCGGCTCAAACAGAACTCTTAGAGTGACCCTCCATTTAATCTTAATCCGCTAGTTGTTCGTTATACGTCATTCGAGTTACCCCGGTCAATGTGCGCCGCTCCCTCGGAGGGATTCGCTCGCAAATTCTTGCTCACTGGACTCTTTGCCGGGTGGACTAGCGTTGGCGAGTCGGAAATCATCTACTGTGCTCGTGAGCGATGACAGAAGTCCATCGGACTGAACTTGAGCTCTGAGACCGATCGTGACCGAGCGAAGATCTCTCCGATTTCTAGACTCGGGAGGAACCTCATTTCCGATACACACTCGGTAGGTCTTCATTATCTCAGCGGTCTACTCCCGAGCGAATGTTCCCTGATGAATAATAATCCGAGCTTTGTGAACGATGGCGAGCCCGCCGGCGGACTTTCACGTTGACCATGTCGGGCTACCGCGAAGAAGGGCCAGCGACACTGTGGCGACTAGTCCGTTACAGTTCCAATTAGCCCACCATTATCACGTCAAACGGTAAGTTATCTCCAACTACATTAATATTGTAAAACTTTGGATCGGCATTCTATTTTCGAACTCATGCGAAAACGGCTCCCAATACTAAATAGTTGGACTTTCGGTGCGCGGGGATAGACTCGCCACCCTTCGGGAGCAAGCGATTCACACACGATTGTGATATACGATACTCGAGGAAAGTCTCAACTCGCGAGTATCTTTCATCATAGTTGGCCACCATTGAGTCAATGCGGCTATGAGAGGATGCGAGTGACAATTCCCGCCCTGATCCCGGGCGTCGGAATTAAAGGGGTGAAGGATTGAAAAGATCATGAATTCATCTCTCGGATTTTTCGAAACGCAGCCAGCGCGTTTCCCGTGTGGACCCAGAATGCACATCATCAACGGCTCTTCATGACTCGAAGCATCAAAAGCATTTCGAGAGCCTGTTCGTCGGGGCGCGCTGTGCGTGACGCGCGAAGGACGTCACAAATGCGCGTGGCAGGTTACCCGGGAGGCTGGCAGGTTGGCGAGCAGTCAAACGAGCAGGAGGTCGTCGATTGTGGTCAAAGCCAACATTCGCCGTGCTGATAACGAGACATGCGACTGGAAGAGAGGAGCCACCGAGAGACACGGCGGAGAGCTCTTTCAGTTTGACTTGAGCATCACCCGGAGCCCGCGCTCGAGGAGCGATTCGCTCACCGGAATCGAGGGAAAAAATCATCTCGACTTGTATCATCTCGTCTTCGAGGACGACGATATTATGTAGCGAAACGTCGATCTGATTCAATCTGAAATTGTTTATGCCCTTGTCGTGAGACAATTGGTTAACCACCATGGAGTAATACCAATTACGTTGATAAGTTCTGTGCGATGTTGATTTAAACGTGAGATTGCCCTCACTAGCACGTGCTCCGATCCTCGTCGCTCCTACGTCGAAAATGTGTATGACCGTATGCGGCAACTCATGGGTGTTTCACGTGACCGATTACGGGGCAAATCGCGCAAATCTATCCGAATGGTTCTGACTTATCGATGAGCGATGCACATAGGTGTGTACAATATATAATGAACACCAGGAGTATACCGCGAACGTGTCATGTTCCGCAAGGATAAGGTGTCCGGCGAAATTTCACTTTTCCGGATCGGGTGTAGTCGTAGCGTAACCAGGTGTTCTCACCGATAGCTGAGCACTGGGTTCACTTTTCACCCATTTTTGACGGTTCGGTAGATCTTTTTCTCGAGAGCGTAAGCAGGTATTCGAATTCTGCGAGCGCCTTCGATTCGCTTCTAGTAGAAAAAAAAACACGGTCGCGCGAAACTAGCTCTGCGGGCCCCTTCCGGTCGAAGCTTCTTGTACGTGGAACATCTACGATAATCGGCTTATTTTCAGTCTGTCTGACGGTCCGGAGCAAGTCCTCGTTTGACGCTCCGGATCAAATGCGGATAGGACGACTCGAGCATTCCGTCTTTCTTACCGCACTAGATATGGTGCTCAGGGCCCCCTGAGCCCATATAGCCGATAGGGAATATTCTGCGCTCCGCCACGAGCGCCATCCTCTGATTGTGAATCTATCGCCTCCCGCTAGGGACAGGACTGAAGATTCCAGGCGCACGACTCGCACAAGTCGTTGGATCGGGAGAGAGTCCACGACTCTCTCACGGCAGCGCTGTCCGAAGGCAGTGCAAACATTTTTCTTCGCGGAAATCGCATGATTGGCATTCCCTCGACATGCATACATGTATCATTTACTCCGAAAATTCGAATGTGTCTAAGCCGCTGGAGGCCACGGAAATGACGCTCGGCTTTCTTCAAGCACTCAACGAGACATTCCCGATCTCCAAATGGCCAAGCGGATCATTCAGTCGACAGTTCAACGGCCCAATCAGAGAACCGTTAATTGTTTGCGGCTCCTTCTCTTAGCGTGCTCGTGCGAGATTCGGAGCGCGATCGAGACTCGAATCGAGCGGACCTCTGGTCTGTCCGAGTCGGAGTGAATTTGGCTCATTAAATATTTCGATTCCTCGATTGTACGGGGACACGAATCGAAGTCTTCGCACTGAATGTACGAGGATTCATGACGACGGCTTCGTGACGGTAGACACCTAATCGTGATGGCGCGACGGAACGTAAGTCTTCGACACGAATCGTTGATCGTGTATCGCGAAAGAGTCCTTCCCCGACAGAGATAGAATCCAAATTCGCTGGCGGCTTTCGGTGAAGCAGGGACGAAAATCGTAGAGTTCGGAGCTGGAAAGTATGCGTGGAATTCTTAAATTGATTCTTTGCCCCGGTTCGCGTCGGCAGAACATCCCTGAAATCCCCCGGCTGCGAAAGGAAATCTCTGGATTATCGTGAGAGATGGATTGGACAGGAAATTTGATTTTGGGCGAGATCGACGCTCCGAGGATTCGACGATTTTCGTCTTGAACATGAATCCAATCTCGGCTCGTGGAATGAAGCTTGAAAAACTGAACTCCCGCGGAGTAACGCTGAGGGACTTGACTGTGGATAAACTACTCTGCAAGTACGAACAGCGAAACAGAGACATCGTCGGAAAGTTTGACACGATGTCAGTTTCGTACTCGACAAGTTGTCGCGGTTCTCTTGAGAACGTACGCTATCAGCTCGAATCGGCCAGTATAGTTGTATTCCTTCGCTCATCCTGCTTCCAAAGTTCGAAACCGAAACTCTGATGCCTGCTGAGAGCCAAACAGCAACTTATTCGTTCCGATCTGCGATCATCTCCGAAACCTTCAATAGCACCCCTCTGACGACTGATACTGCCCTCTCAACGACAAGGAAGATCTCTTAGCGGCGGTCTTGACAGCTCAGGGATTTTTCCAACGAAGCCTTCATTTCCCGAATATCCAATCATGGCAGAGAATTTTATCAGGAAGGGGGGGGGTATATTTACTCAGTACTCAGCCATTGAAAAAACTCATCCACCGAAATGACGGCCATTGTGGCTCGACAAGTCCGAGACCTATTCAGAGCCACCGCTGATAGACACAAGATACAAAACGATGCAAGCTGTAAATGCAAAACCGTCCCACGTAGGTGATCGTTCTGCGATCCATGTACGCAGCGTTGAGAGAAATAAGCCCTATCCAGACGACCTGAAGCTGAACGGATCAAGAGCGATCGATTTCCTCATCGGGATGTTCGACTGAAGCCGAGGGCAAATACCGCGAGAGCTGATTCATCGTTATCTAATTATTGAAATGCTATGAACACCCATACAGCGAATTCTAATTTAACCGTCTGATGCGGCTCCGAGGCGGGCTCGTTGCACGTGAGACTGTCGACTAGCGGTCCGGAGCCGGCATCACGTCTTCTTTTTGATGGTCTCTCGTATAGTAGTGTTTGTTGTCATACTTCGGAACGATCATGTAGAAGCTACCGAAGGACACAATCCGACTCGATCTGTCTAATTGAGGCTCCTTTCCGATTGTTTGCAGGGTCGGTAGGACTTGGAATCACGCGAAGAGAATGAAATCTAGTGTCGAGGCGCTTTTGGACCTCTGTGGTGAGTATTCCGTCTACGCTTAAGGCCGGCTTTCTACAAATCTCAGTTTCCTTCTCTATGAGCCAGACGGGGGGCTCTGTGTGTCACTTTTGTTCCGCTAGCGCGGAACGCTCACACGCATCTCGACCTCGGTCGAGACGACTGAGACGGATTCCCTGCTGGTCGATAGAGCGGCGGCGATAAGAAATCCCGCAGACAAATATGTGCATCGAGACTAGAAAATTTCCAGACCGAGGGACATCGTCAAGACGCTTCTCCAGTCTTCGGGCGTAAGTCAGGAGTCCGGCTGAAAGACGGGCGAGTGTTCAAAGATAGAAAACCGCCGCGCCGTTGCCCTGCTCTCTCCCGAAAAGCAAGGACTGAGAATCCCGAAGAGGCGAGCCGACTTTCTGACATCTTTGTGGATTGAAACTCCGGAGACGAAGCGCGCACCAAATGTTGCTTCTGAATCCGCCACTGTCCTCTGCGGCGGTCGTGTCCGCTCCGCAGAGTTCCTCCTCCATGCATCCCATGATCACCCTCAACCTAATTCCCTCGCGATATCCAGGGAATAATCATCCCTCCCCCCTCTGGCGGAAAAGAAATTCCGATGGAGCAACGAAGCAGCTATTTACCCCTCGTTCCCCGGCCATTCAGGCCATTGAGTAAACGTCCGGAGATTCGAATTCTTGCTCCTCTCCAGGTTGCAATCAGGAACAGACACAGAGTTCAAAGGAGTCAGGAGTTTTCCGGATGCCCGGCTGCACCTTGGAGATTCTTTCTTCGCTCTGTGTATCTATTCCATTGTCACGGATAGCGATACGTCGCACGGAAACGAAGAGGCATAGCAGTGGTAAATTATTCGCCGATATCCTATCGGCTTGTCATCTCTCAGAGAATCCGAGCGTTTGCATCAGGCTAGGCGCGTATCTCGCTCCATACCGAGATTGTTCTGTATAGATCTCGGATTAGACGGACTCAAGCGCGGCATCTGGCGGTACGAGTGATCGCTGCAATATTCGCTTCCTTCCCAAAGAATTCCTGGAAGTCGACCAAAAAATGATCGCGGAGTCCTCCGATGAAGCGGAACGGGAGTCAACCCAAGGATCCCATTCAGTGTCTGCTGAGCGAGTTTCCGGCGGTGTAGGCCCAGGTGCACGACGAAGCGGAATACCTCCGCCATAGTACTGTCTCAAGGCCGTTTGTTCTCTGCGGGCAGGTAGGAGCGATATCTACCCTTCAGAGGTTTGGAAAAGTTCTCCAAACCCTCATCGGGTACTGAATCATGTCAGGAGTGCATTCAGCTTTTCGCTCTGCTCAGTTACGATCTGCCATAGAAGGACCAAGTCGAATGCTTCACTTGATTACCCACTCCAGCGCTTGACTGTGAGCAGGAGTGTTTGAGCTCTAGAATCTCTCCTCTCTCTCCCAGCGTGACTCGAACTGTGCGCCTGGGGGGCGTCAGCTGCGGAGTTTCGCACAAGAAGTAAACAAACACCATAGTGAGCACTCTCGCACTCGCTAACATCTGCTATAGATGCGCAAGTCGATCAGAGCGTGCGTCACGAGCAGCTGCTCGGGAGCTTTTCTCCTTACGGAGGCTTTGGAGGGATCAAGTTCGAATTGAACATGATCACTCCGAACTAACGCTCTGACGTCTTTGTTTCGACCTCGTTCCGATCATCATCATTGTCTTCAAAGCGGTGAGTTCGTCTTTTCAGCGCAACCAGGCATTCACGAGTGTTTGCACGAGCTCCTTAATTCGCTATCCTTAAGTGGGCAGCTCGATTCGACTTTGAAGGCGAGCAACTGAAATCCTCTGATTCGGAGGCTCCAATGATATGGCTGAGCTTGATTCCGACTCTGATCTATCCGGTTGGACCACGAAAAGTACGAGGATGATTGAGCGGAATCGGAAACAGACTTTCCGCGGAAGAGGAATCGACAGGGGCGGGCGGCGGAGTGTCGCCATTCCATCAGACATTGGATCAGTCGAATGGAACGATGATTGGGACAATCGATTATTTATTATTTTCCTAAAATCGAGAGCTCCGTTTATCTACGGTATTCCTGCGAATGTATGTCGCGGTACGGGGTTGGCAGTTAAGCTATGGTTTCGCGGAATCGTCAGGCTCGGATGGCCTCGATTCTGAGGGTCTGAACGGGACAAGCCTCCTCGAGGATCGCTATGAATTCCCGACCGATACGAGGAGCAGGACCGCGGCTCGTCGCGGGCCCCGTCGTGAGAGCCGTCGATGCGAGGCAGAAGACGATGGAAGTGATCCCAGGGTGGAGTCGATTGATGATGGCGATGAAGATTACGCTCCGGATGATGATGACAATGATGGAGCATATAGCGAGCCGACGATGTGAGTCGACGATCATCTCGCTATCATGGCGCTGCAGTTCCATTATTGTAATTGATTCGAACTGTCTGCGCGCTTGCTGAGATGAGTTGTCGACTGGGTTGCGGTACTCGAAGGAATTATCGCTCTTCCTCGCATCGACTGTTTCCGCTGCTCACCCCGGCTTCCATGATCTCGATCTCGATCCTGATCCGTCGGACACGGCAGCGTCCGGTGACTGTGGAGAACGGGAGAGCGTTCTTCAATGAATATTGCTCTCCGAAGAATTTTCATTTTGACAATTATCACAGTTGCCAATCTAGGTAGGTATATTCACTTACCGAGAGCGACGCGATGCAACAGGCTCAAAGATGACATTTGAGATGCGTAACTGAGAATGGCCATATGGCACGACGGCTTCTCTCGATTGATGATTTTCGGCTCGAATCAGAAACAAAACGACGATCCGAAGTCTTTCCGCAAGGATTCGGAAAATCGGGTACGCCCAGTACCGGCGGCTACGTGTTTGAAATCCCCGAGTTATCTCGCTCAAACTCGGAATGTCCCGATCCACCACTTGAGGTGTTAGACGCGGTCGGTAGCTGTCGATCCGATAACGGTCGCTACTTTCGTCTCCCCATCTGTGGTAAGTGGCTGCCAGGAGTCCGGACAATAACCCTCGACCGGAGGCACACATAGCGTTGAAGGTACCCCGTTGGCGCATCATCCAATCAGCGTCCTCTGTCGAGCATGTTAAATTAGATTCGATGCAAGAGTTGACCATCCAGTCGGCCGGGAAGACGGAAGGATAAACGAACGGACGAAGGAGGGAACGAGCTCACCGACAACTAACCAGCAAACCGCCCGGAAAAGCGCCCGCACGACCCGTGGGGCGGCCATCAGGCGGTCGAGGGAGTCACGCGCAGGAGTTTTCCCTTCAGAACTTTCTGTTTCGGCGACAGTGTCTGGAATGTGTGGACTCTAATTATCAGGTCCGCCGCACGCGTCGCTGCACGGCTGCGCACTCGGAATCTGAAACCTCCGCAGCAGCTGTGGGCCCCGGCGACTGCAATAGTCGAGTTTCTGAGCCGGCAGCTCGCGAGGCTTCTGAGCGCTCTTTCCAGTTGAGGAGCGTTCTGATCTTTGTTGCCGCCCGAATCTTCGGGGTCCGGAGGATCCATCCGAGAGTTAGCTCCGTGAACCTTCACCGGTACTGCTCCACAAAGCTTGGAAGTTCCGAGTCCCAGTACTTGCGACGTTGACTCCTGGAGACTTTTTCCGGACGCGACTTGTCCCACGGGGAATCGTAGCTCCATTTCATCAGAAAACCTCCGTCACTTCTGGATCGATGATCAAAGCGCTCCGATCGACTCGGCGACGGAGGGTGCGGGGGCCTGGGGGAGAGCGGAGCTCTCGTCGGTCGGAGGTAGAGCGAATCCAAAGCAGCGTAAACTTCAGAGGAACTCGTTCGCTTTCCTGTGTCAACCCAGAGGCGACAACGGCGAAACTGGCAGCTGAACGAGCGTCTAGCGAACGTAATGGGCTGCTTAATGACACGGAAACGGGGCTACCTAGCTGGTCTTCCAGCCTTCCTTCCCTCCTTGCTGGCTTCTTTTCCTCCGAGTGAGCCCGACCTCGTCCGACGGACAAAGCCCACCAGAGGAGAATCCGGGAGAGCAGAGCGAGGTCACAGCTTCCGGCTGGACAAGCTTCAATTGTTGTTCGAGTCCGACGAGTGGAATTCTTTACGTTTCCTAATAGCGGAAGCAACGTCGATATCCTCTCACTTAGAGGCTGGCTGAGATGTTGTTAGAGTTGCTCTGGGAACTCCTCGGAATCGAAGCCGGGCAAGGTCTGAACAGGTTACGAGCGGTCCGATTTCAAAACCCAGAAGTCCTCCAGAAGCGCTTCAGAAATTGAATTTTCCACACGTTCCGCTTCGCTACGTGCCTCCCTAACGGGATCGGGTACGAGACCATGGGCAGAATTCCCTCGCTCCAGCGCACGGCAGGCAACGAGCAGCGTCAGCTGATCGTGATGGCCTACCACTCCGTCTGGGATTCTTCTTCGCTGGTGCATATGACGTCGTTCGGAAGCGCATCTGCCGGTCGGGAGATTCCATGTACAGGATGGGAAAACGATGGAACGATAGCCATAAGGGGAGGAGGAGAACATAATCACATGCTCCGTCGGCCTTGCCCCTGCAGACGAATACACCGACCCAGCATACACGGACGACATGGTGACCTGGAACGGCTGAGAATTTTCCACCAATATGTTTTCAGCATGTAATCGTTGAAGGCGAATGATTCCTAATGATCAGAAATGGATAGATTCACTGACGTCGTCCTCCAGCGCTCGTGAGTCCCCAAACGGACATCCCTGAGAGATTTGCGTGATATTCCCTTATTCGCTCCTGATATTCCCTCCATGGGGAACTTTGAACGGAGAGCTCTCGCACATCGGGGAGGGACCCAGATGTCTCGATAGTTCGTGTCGGGAACCGGAGCTTTGTGTACAAACCCCGGAGATTGAACGAATGTTGTTAGCGCCCGACGGTGCTGGAGATAGACTCGGATCTCACAAAGCATCGCCAGGACCGTTTCTATGGTTCCCGGAATGTTCCCGGATGAAGCTTCCCATCGACACGCTTGTGGTCTACTGGCTCATCGGGGAACTTTGACAGTTCGGTGGAATCGCATCCTCTCGTCCACTTTAAAGCACCGCAATGCTGATGTTATTTTGCGAAACTTGATCAACGAAAGACTTCGAACAGGAATCTAGAATCGTCTACCTACTCTTTTACTTCGAATGAATGGACCGGAAACAGATTCTCGCCAGCTGTTGTTAGACTTGATCGAGGGAAAAACTAGGCAGGACCTTCTGCACTGCTCCTGCGGAACCGCCGCTCTGACTGGGGGACGCTATTAAGCTTTTGTGACGTCAAGTCTGACCCGCAGCACACTGCCACTAACAGCATGAGCGGGAAATCAGCTTCTTCTCGGACTCTATCCCTAGGCCGATTGCCCTTTATTTCCCTCAATTACTCACACTCTCCCCCCCCCCCCCAACCGTCCATACCCCACGACACCGTTCGGTGCATCATACCAAGCGGAGAATACGTCACACAGCGAGTGATATAGAGATGAATAAGTGTTGTAGATCTTCAGGTTTTTTCTCGGTACAACCACGGGAAGGGCACGGGAGGGTATCAGTGTTGTCGCTCGGGCTTTCTCGTGGTGCAATCCCGACTTACCTTACTTCTCGATAGGGAACCCCATTTTACACCTAGGGAGATCGATAACTCCCGCGGGGAAGTATTCACCGCATTGAGGAGCCTGGCGATAGAGATCTGCCGAAGGATATTGAGTTAGAGACTCCCATCGTGGGAGGGAGGGCTCTCGGAAGTCTCCTAGAGAATCGCATGATTCTTGTATGATGCTCCGCTTTGGTTTCGTTGACCGAGAAGTCATGGGAGCCGGTTCCTTAACGAACTTAAAATCGGAGCACGGGAAGCTCCTCTGCCGCTTACACTCAATCGCCTATCCGAAAGTTCTTCGATACAGGAAAACTTCAGGGCCCTCTCGTCTCACTGAATAAGTGTGCGTTCTTCATTTTCAGGCAGTCTATGCGAATCAACGAGTCGGGAGGTGTTTTCCAAAATCAACCGATATGTAAGTCACTGCAAACCCATCGTCCTGAAAGAATGAATGAGGACACTTATCTGCGCGAATACTCCCTTTTATGTTCGTTTTCTATCGTTGGCTGTCAACTCGTACCGACTCGGTTCAGTCCCAGTCACATGGTCATCGTACGAGGCATGTGGGGATCGGAGTGTCGGCCCCATTTGTCATTTACGAGCATCATTCTGCGCCCAGCGGGCAACCGTCGATTGTTTTGCGCTTCCCTCGGACGAGACTTGTCTGTGTGATTTGCCAGAATCGGATGGTCTCCTTGAAAGAGACACTCGCAGCGTATGAACCTTATTCCACGTGAGAGCATGCGAGTCAATTCAAACAAATCTATTGAATCGGTGTATATATTTATTCATCTGATCATTTGTACGTTCTTTTTATTCATTTATTTGTATTTATTTGTTTATTTATTCATTCGCAACGTTTATTTATTTGTACGCTCATCTGTTTGATTATTCATCTATCCATTAATCTTCATTCGATACGTATTCACGAGGGTATGCAGACAAGACGAGAAATCATGAAGCTCTCGCGGGGGCGTCCCATTCGGCAAGAACTTCGAAATTCTCGGCGTGTCTTCGGTCTCGAACGGTTTCGAACCATCGGAGGGTTTCAAGGGTACAGGCGTTCTCTTCCCCATTGGAGGGAGGGGGTACCTGTTCCCGCTCATTTTCCCGAGCTGAATGGAGCTGACGCGTCCACTTCGAGATCCATAGACCCCGAACTACGGCAATACTGGATCTCAAGTCCCTTTTCGATCTCAAGATCCCTCTCTATCTGCTATGGAACTCAGAGAAGATAGAAATCCCCTTTTCGTAGCGGCAGGACATCTCTCTCTTGAGGAGGGGTCTCGGCCGACACGGCTCATCACTCCTTTCGTTCCTGAGCCATGTCAACTCGCAACCGATTCCGTCATGGCTGCCACATGGCGGCAGCGCAAGATTTCGCTCCGGTTTCTGTCATGGCTCCGCTAGGCATTTGGCCATGGTAGCGGCAACTCCGACTACAAATTACTCGCTAACAAGTCAGTCGGTGCATATGAGCTTGTTGTTCAATGTACATGTACGCGTCACTCTGTCTGTCACCGCAGACAAACCCATCTTAGCGTATTTCCCGAAGTCAAAAGACGAGGCGAGCTGGCCATCGATGCTTCACCTCTCCGGACTTCGGCTCCGCAGAATCTCGCTCACAGCGCGCTATGTCCGAGGTCGAGCGTTAAAAACCGGATTTATCGCCAATTCATTTCTGATGCGAGGCGAATCAGGCCATTCAGCAACTCGGTGGATGATCGCCAATGGATCATGAATACATACACATACGCATGCAGGTAGTTGTTGTTATTGCATTTCCGCAGACTTGCGGTTTGATCAACGATAGTGTAGCAGCCGACCCAATAGGAGAGTCGCGACGAATGGTCAATGAATCAAATGCATTCGAGGACCGATCAGATCACTGGTTTTCTCTTCCGGTACTCGATTGTTCCGAGATCAATCCTCCCCGGGATCGCGAGAGTGTAATTGATTTTTCCTGTGCTAAGAATAGTCGTGCTCCGTCAAAACTCCGTAGGATCCATGCTTTCCCTATCCTCCGAGGGCCAGAGCTTCTCAGGAAGCGAATGGCGGAGTAAAGGCTTCCTTCTCACTCCGAGAATCCATCTCACGGAATTCGTGGCGGAGGAGGTAAGCGTTTTGCGGGAAGAATTTGAGGGTAGATCGGCAATTTTACCGCGCGATGTTATAGGTAGAGTGGTCACGGATAGACTTACGTTTTTTAAATCGTGAACTGCCGAAGAAACTCGCATGGAACGGCATTCCCGACGGGAGGTTGACTCTCCATTCTCCATGCCATTAGCCTGATTGCGCATTACCTCGGTGATGAAGACGAAGAGTATTGTTCGTCGTCCTCCAAGAGCGGAAACAATCTTCTTCGATGTCGAGACCTAGGATGCCATCGACTGAATTGCACAACAGAGCCAAACACTCGGGACAAGGATGACCAACTGCGGGAAAGCATTATAGGTCAAGTGACGAAATCACCGAGACTATTATTTTCACCCTGATTCCCATGCTACTCGATCCTATGATGGACTTCCGAAGGGAAGAAACAATTTCCTGAGAGCTCGACCTTGACGGTGGCGCAGTAAATGAATTTTAATCTTTCTCACCGCGAGCCTACGGGGACGATCGTATTTCTCTGACGGGACCGATCGTTATTGGATGTGAGTTGTAAGCGAGGCCGAGTATCGAGTGTTCGCACATATCTCTCTTAGGCTAGCATCTGACTTATCGAGAGAGGATCTTTCGACATGGGTGTCGTGGACTTTGTTTGGTCCATTGGGCGGTCCACCGCAGCTCTAATTGCACGATTGTCATGACATACTCAGGAGCTGTATCTCTTCGTGGAAATAGTCTTGGATATCATCCATCGATAACAACTAGGCTGTATCCGCTTTTCTGATAATCTCGACGACAGCAGCCGCGACGACGAGGTTCTCCCAACTTTCGGATTCTCTCCAAAGTCCACCGATCCGTCCGGGTCATCGAGCCGAAAGAGCAACTCGCTCGTTTGCTCTCGCTCCCTTGAAACGACTATTCTCCCGAACACCTATATAACATGCTCGGCGATTGCGTGCGAGAAATTACGTTGCGCGATCGCCGCGGCAGTCGGTGATGCCGCCTGGCTGGACCCGATGGAGTGAGTGCTCGTGAACAAAAATTCGCTCATTCCTCCCGTAAAATGAAGACACGGCATACCCTTATACCCCTAAGTGAATTGCGAAGCCCATTCCTAAATAGATTGTGCACTCAACCCTTTGTGTGATCGAGTTCGATTGATCCTTTCAGTGTTCAATCATTCGAGTAATTAAGTCATCAATGACTCGCCCTCCCCGGCCGGTAACCAAGCTCCCTTGGGAGGAATTCCTTGAAACAGGCAGCTCATTTTCGGTATTAGGAGATTGACGGCGCGAATAAAGGAAACCATCGATCGTTCCCGTCGGATGAATCGACAGAAATTCCCAAAACGGATGGGAAACCTCCCCGGTAGTCTATTTGGGCACTAGATGAACTCTGTTCCTCTACCCGGATTCGCTTGACTAACTCACTCAATCCATTTGGGCCGTCGGTCGCCGCGATAGAATCGACCGAATCAGCAGAAAAACATCACTCGACGATGTCATCATTCTCGACCTTTTCCGGAAGTATGGGAATAGAAATCATCCGGGCAATAACAAACATGAGCTTGGTGTGGATGATGGGCTATTGATGCAATCGACAGCCTCGATTGCAGCCGCGAAATCTTCCGTTCCTTTGGACTTCCAGTCCGCCTCTCGATCTTTCGCTCACATCGTTACCCAGGCGCTTTCCTGGAAGCGAAAGGGATAATAAAATTTTATCCTAAAACTAATCGTCGGACGATTTTTCGATTGCAGTTGACAACATGCACTGGTGCGGGTTTCGCTTTCATACTCACCGCAGAACAGGAGGATTTGGCGTGCCGGATGGTGAACGATGGCCCTGTCGAGGGCGCGCAGGAGGAAGTCTTCACAATGGTGAGAAAAAAACTATTTAGGCTACGGTGTTCTGCACCACAGCTCCCTGAAGGTTCCATCTCTTGCAAAACCTCGCTGGCAAGCCCCGGGCTGCGAGGCTATCCGCGTTCAGTTCCCCGATATCATTTGCATAGGGCGCTCATTCGCTCGATCCGGAGCAAGGCTCTCCTGACAGTAGCGTGGAAAACTCCGCCGGGCTCTGATTAATAAATTTAGGATCGTTGGTCCATGGTACCTACCTCCGGATGATATGAGCGATTGCCGAGTCTCCGAGACGAATCTTCTGCACCCATTGCCTCGGGACATTCGGAAAGGAATTAGGTCAACTGTGAGTGGTGGTCATCGTACAGAGACGCGGGGAATGAGGCGGAAGGGGCAATCGGAATGAAACGATGAACCGTGACGAATAAAGGAGCAAGTGCCGGTGGCGTATAGCGTATCCGGACGCAGCAGGTCTTCTGTCCATGCGATTCCGTGGCAAGATTGCGGCTGGAGAGCTAGAGCAACAATGAGAAAACGAGGATATTATACTGAAGACCAGGTGGAGTGGATCCTCTGTTTAACGCCTATTGATCGGCACTTCGGCTAATCCTAAGTTCGCGGAAGCGGCGTCGCGGGCAAAATTTCCACCGACGCTCAGCCAGGGCGATGGTTGGTGTCGAAATACTTGGCGGCGTTGTTGTTGTATGATTGAGTTGTGTCGGAGTCGCGAGAAATCCCCACAGAAGAACTCGACGCGCGGAGATAGTGTCGAGGACCTGGCATTCGAGTCGCTGGGATTGAAGTGAGGGAATCTCCCCAGATATCGGACAATCTTTCTGGAAGCGATTTCCTGCAGGATTCGGACAGAAATCTCGGCGCGCTGGGAAACCATATAAGTCCAGCGTTCGGAACTCTCCGGCAGCACAAAATGGGATTCTCTCGGAGGGAATCTGTCGGAGATCGTCGAGATTCTAAAGCTCCTCCTGCGAGGAACGTGGGCCTTGTGGACAGCTGGAGAAACGTCCACCGGACAATTCAGAGTTTAGGAATACACTCGTGGAGAGCGCTCACTCACGAGTGCCGACGCCTCCCTACCGACGCTGGAGCCCAGCCCAAGCGGATCACAATACTGGACGAAAAGATCGCTGCGGCGGTATCATGAAGAGAAATTCCTCTCGCGGACAGCTCGAGACGTGGAATGGATTCTTTTGAACCTTCGTAGTTTGCAAAATTCTCCTGAAATGCTTGCCAAAATGCTTGCTGAACGGTTGTCCCGCGAGAGAGAGTTTCTCAGAGTGCGGTACCGGAAGGTAATTTCATCGGCGGTCCTCTACGTCTCCGAAAAACAGAATGATGATCATGATGACAGATGTGGAAGAGCTCGCTTATCGTCACCGTCGTCGGACTTTTGTAGCCATCTGCCTAGGCACCGATGTACTGTGTACAACCCGTGGCGAAACAGTATTCATTGTGAGCTCCCTTATCTGACCTACAGAGCGGTATGTCTCCCATCGATACGGAGAAGGTGTTAAAGGTCCGATGACACCGACCGCTCTTCTTGACACTGACGTTCCACGCTGAGAATGAAGCTCGTTTACGCGCTTGTGAGTTCTAAGCTCTAAAGCTCATTCAATTGACGGACACGGCCTTCCCTATAAATATCAGAGTAACTCGAAGGAGTTGAAAGATTGATCAGTAGCCGATGTTGTGGATTCAGGGCTGTGTCAGCGACCCCGAAAATCTAAAATCCTCCTCCGGTGGAAGCAGAGTCATGGAAGGACTCTTTCTTGTTCTGGTGACTACTGGCCGTCACGTCGTCCGATCCGGATGACAGGTATTCGGACATGCAAGACTAGTTTGCGGATAGAATTGCTTTCAATTGTTGAAAGCTGGAGTGCGTCGAATCGGCTCGAATCTCTCGGAATTCATCATGTTATGGAGCTCCCTCAAGGCAAGATAAGACTGCGGAGCCGAGGTGGAAGCGGCGGAATCGTCTTTCCTGAGAGACTCCCGCGCTGGGTTTGGCTCGCGAGCGTTCTGGACGAATGGAACGCGGTCGCTACGCCGGCGCTGATTGCTTGACCTCTGATCCACTTCACTCTAGCAACGACTTGAGAGTATTCTCAAGTATTCAAAACATTGGAGTGGATGCAACGCCTTCCTCTTTTTTCGAAATGCAGAAATATCCGAAGACCACGGAAGAGAAACATCCAACAAAATCCAGGACTGTTAGAGACTTGAAATCGCACAAAGGGGGATCCTAACGACAAGGGAATCGGATCCCCAAGCTACTCGAGGCAGCTGGTCGCCTATTCTCCTACATCTGTCGAGATGGGAACAGGAAAATACGATCGGAATCGATGTCCCGGCTTTCCCTGCTACTCATTCCCTTCGTTGTCTTCTTCCTGTGTATGCACCGACCCGATCCCCTTGTCTCGTCCTCGTGTGGTCTCATCCAGTCTTAACGGAAGAAAATGAGTACGGCGGGAGTCATCGATATCTTCCTCAGTCTCAATCTCATGAGGTCCGATGGACATGGTCATCGGTGTCGGGAGTTTCTACCCACATGCCTTGAGGTTCCTCAGCTTTCGGGTGACTTCACTGCCGATTCTCATTTTTTTCCACTCTCGAAACACGCCCGAACAAACGATTCACAAAGATCAACACTGGCTATCCGAAGGCGGAGAGCTGCTTGGTCGGAGCTGGGGGACCATGAGATGGAAGTTTTTTTTGTACTTTCTCTGTTCTCCCCTCGAATAACCGTCCCTGTTCCCGTTTCCGTCCCCATTCCCGAACGGATCCGGAGCTTAGCCGCATCCGTGCCGCTTCCCGGGAGAAGTCCGCTCCGATTGAGTCTCTCGAATCCGTACCGAGGGATCGCTTTTCCATCCTCGTGAGGGAAAACATTCTCAATTGTTCTCGCATCAATATCCAGCCGGGATTCAATTATTATGAATAAAACGTCCCTCTAATTGAAATTCATGTTCTCCGAGTTTCCCCGTTCGTCTCAAACTGGGTATCGGATGAGGGAGCTCTCTCAGACGAGCCTCGAACCATATCGCGGTCGAATCCATGAATGCGAACAAGAGGATTCCTATAGGAAGCGTCGGAATTTAGATTTTATTCAGCACACAGCAGAAGAGAAATCAGCAAGCTCCCGAAGAATGGAAGAGATGCGGGAGCGAGCGGCAAGATAGAGTAAACAGATCAAACACGTTCCCTCTCCTGCTCTTCCGCGTGCCAGATCTCCATTCTCCTCCCAGAAGGGTGAGGAACCACAAACAGACGCTCGGACAACAGAATCGTCTTTTCTCTGGAGGTTCTCCCCGCAGCAGTACGGGGGGGGGGGTTGCGGCCTCCAAATTTAGAATTCATTTTCGTCTCCTTCCGAACTCATCTCGGTGTGTTCATACATATGTGACTGAAGCGAAGAGCAGAATGCTACGTGCAACAGGAGAAGAGACCAGCGAGGAAGCTACCGTCAACGCGGGGAGGAAAGGAGAGCCCGACTGTTGCCTGTTGCAGCCGGTGAGCCCACCCGCTCGCTCGCGGTGTTGCATTATTCCGGACGACGCCCTTCGTGGCCTTGAAGCCGGCCTTGCCCTTTTCCCTTGCTGAGTCCAACGGCAGTCGCTCCAACACCAACGAACATTTTAGAGGAGCTTAGACCCGGGGCGGGCCGCGTGAGTGTTCACCTACAACCCACCGAGCCACCGAGCAACCGATTGTGTGCGCGAACTCACAAATGCGTCGTCCGACTTCCTCGCGTGAGGAGGGAATGAGACGAGACTGCGGGAATGGACCGGAACTGTCTCGGAAGATTGATAGGAATCTCGAAGCGGAAACCAAAAAGTTCAAACCGAGAACCGGAACATCGGGAGAGCCCTTTCGGAGTACAAAGAAGTTCAAGGGGAATAATTCTTCCTCCCGGCAGGACCAGCTCGCTCGCAGCACAAGCCGAACGCTTGTAACAAAAGACTCGGGCTCTTCCTCCCCGAGAAGTTCCTGATCCTTATTAGTCACGAATGCGCGTCAGGAGACTTCCGATAGGGCCGTGTGGAGGTCATCGGAGGCACTTAGGTAGTTGGATTCTAATCACAACATGAGAATCGGATATTAATCTGCTGTATCCAATGCTGCTGGAATGGAATAGATACGGGTCGGTACTCGCTCACTCAGTTAGCGAGTCGCTTACGGAGAGCGAATACCGTTTAGCCGGAGAGGAATAGGAGACCTGAGGGTCCTTGAGAGGTTTTCCATCATTCAACCTGCACGCGATTCCGGGAGGCCTTGACAGTCGTGCGGTAGCTCATCCGCCTTCGGTGGCAGAAGGCCGGACATACATATGTAGTTGATGCATCCGTGTACATACATACATACCTATCTAGCAACACTGCTTGGGGACTGAGCCCTCGAGGGAGCTCATCGAGACGATTCCTTAACGTCGCGCAAATGTTTTACAGGCCCACGGAGCACAACTCGTAGCGCTTCTCCAGCAGCAGAACTCTCTCCAACTGCACGAAATCCCTCAGGTGAGCAACGGGAGCGGGGCTATGTAGGAAACTCCCGAGCAAGACGGAGGAGAATTCTCGGAAGGATGAGGGCTCTCCTCCGACTCTCGTCGCGAGGGAATCCTTCGAGAAGAGATCTGGGCATCCGATCGTCCGCGAAATCGCGAGAGAGTCCGACGCTTGTTCATAGTTGTCACAAATCGATTCGAAGCTCGATTGCCAAGCAGGTTAGGGACAATGGACGCTATCGACAGATTCCACAGAGTCGGAGGAATGTTTGGAGACAGAAAACCTGGAAATTGAGTTCGAGGCGATCCCGGGGTAACCGATTCATATTCTTACTGTTTGGGGACACTTCGCTGTGATCGGGGAACTCTAGAGTTAGAGGCTTAGTTTCCGCTTCCGCGGTCCTATTGCGCCCGAAAAGGGGATAGTCCGGGGTGTACAAAACTTCCATAAGGGACTCGCTTGGATTCGTCTCTTCTCCGGAAATGCTCGAGAAGAGTCAACATTCCGGCCAAAATCATCACAACTCCTTCAGATTCGGGGCTCAGGTCTCATTTCGTTCTTATTGTCCGCCGTAGTGTCTACGTCGTTCAAGGTCACTCGACGATCTCTGAAGCTTCGGATCCCCGGACGCCTCTAGAAATATTTTCCTGGACTCACCGAGTCGGTCAGTCCGTTCCCCCATTGAGATTTTCGAGAGAACCGCAGAGAAGATGGGAAGAGTGGGAGATACCCTTACGGGGGGCGCACGGGCGGTCTCACAAGATTTGGGAGACAGTACCCGGAAAGAAGTCTTCAAATGAACTCGCTTACGCCGAAATTGATTTTCGATCGCTCTGCACCGTGGATACAAATAAGCGATTCGGTGATGGCCGTTCCCGTTACCTTCCTTCCTTGGTGCTGGGGAAATTCGCTGAGGGAACTCCAAAATAATTAACGGAGCCAGCTCCGGGTGACCTTGCGAATTCTCGGTTGGAAGAATCCATACTGTTGGCCAAGCAGCATAGTCGAAATCCGAGTTCCAGGTCTCAGTGAGCAGCGCTACAGGAATAAGAGAGCTGCCTGCATAATCTGGGGATCCGCGGAACGATCCGTACATTCGAACGACCCTCCGTGGTGTTTCGAAATAGTATGTGCGGCTAGTGTCCTGAAAGCGTGTAGTACCGTGGCCAGGGTCGCACTGAGCTTCGAAAACGCCCATCCCGCTACGGTCTTCGAATCCTGCCATGAGAGGTGGACAATTTTGACATTTGAGCTCCCTAAATGCCCCCATAGGTTTCCCCAATCTTATGGAACGGTTGATGGAACGATGACATCGAGTATATTTCACTCTCACTCTCCACTTTCACCGGGCTCAGTCTAATTCTGATCCATTGGGCTTTTCTCGTCCTTGAGACGCGGACTCTCGAGCTCTGATCGATGAGCGGCCGCGATGCGCCTCTCTGCGATCTAGCCTAAGCCTTTGCTCTCAGGCGAGTGCTCGAGTGCAAGTTTGCATCACCGTAGCTCTCGCGAGTTCCGGCTATATCTGTCTGTCTGTCTAGCGGTGAGAACACGAGTGTTGATACCAGAGCAATGTCACGTCGACCATATCCTCTCAATTCGGCTGAGTTCTGTGTCACGTAGCTTCTTTCTGTCTTGGTCCGGATTCGGGCCGCCTCTTTAGTGGCGACGGTACTTTTTCTACCGCGTTGACAAGGACCGAAGTTTCTCCTTGTCTACGGAAATCATGGAGGGGCACGTTTACGTCACGACTAAAACGTCAGAGCGGGATCTCCGGTCGAGGATCGTCCGAGTCTATTCATTCCCAAATGTATTGACACGGTGGAAATTCTGCTGCTCGATAATTTTCAACTCGATATGGCACAGGTGTTTTACGTTGTGTTTGACGTAGGACGTCACTCGCGTTCGAGTGTTATAATTGGGCAGCGGTTCCCTCGGGTCCCTCTGACGTTTCATGTGACGTCTGATACCCAGAGCCGCTTCGCTGAATACGGGAATTTTGAGGCAGTCAAGGACTTGTGCGATTGTTAAGCGAATCCTCAAATGGCGTGAAACGTGTCTCGTCAGCTCTCGGTCGCCGAGAGTAAGACGTGTTGTGATTACGTGAGCGTTTGGCCGTTAGAACCTATCCTCCACCGATATCGATTGAAGATGATCTTTTTGAAGCGGGGAGCGTCGGCGTGTGCATCGGGTATTTCAGATCGCCTACGTTGAATTTCTATAATAAACGAAAACGACTTCATCCGTGGATCGCGGCGATTGCAGCGATAATCTGTCATTTGAATAATTATAATACCGAATCTTAATCGGCCACACCCCGCATAGGATTTCCCGCATAATGCGTCTTGGAAAGTCACGTCGATTCAGAAAAGTCACGGTTCGCACCGCGGTATGATGTCATGCGGAGGAGCTGCAGGAATCGAAAGGTTTACGTCGCCGGGCTACAGCCAGCGAGACGGACGCAAGCCGCGCTAATCCGGCAGCTAACATCGCTGAAGTCGCCCTCATACGTGGCGTGACTCAGCCAAGACGAGAAGCTTTCGAGTAAAGCCCTGCTGTTTGCGACGTAAACTTTGCGACGAGCGCTCTTCCCCCCGTACCTTTTTGCGCTCCAGTCTCTCACCTCCGGCTCCGTTGACTCAGCATCGGAGTCACGGTCCGAGCATCGGTTCGGCTCGAGTTCTAGATCTGTCACTACTCGCGAGTCTGCTCGGAATTCCACGGTAGAAACAATGACTTCATGCTCCTATCGAATGAAATCTAATGATTATGCGGGATCAACGGAACTTATGCACTGATTCAGAAATTCGGTGTCGTGCATTCCACGAAAATGCCTCGGTGCCTAGGTAATCAGCTCAGCCTGGATAATAATTAAGGGCGCCTCGCTCTGCGTCAGCGACGATGCATGTTACGTGACATGGACTCTCTGTATGGATCAGCCCTCAAGTATAATACTTGTCACGATTTAGCGACAAGGGACATATAGACAATCGAGCGGAACTTGGAAGGTGTCTAAGAGACAAGGAGGTCATACAGGGAGGTGCAAACCGAAAATAAAGAAGAATTCGCTTGGCCTTCGATGATTCCATCCCCTTGTCAGGAGGGTGACTATAGCGCCAGCGAGAGAATTACGGGACGATCTCGGCTTCCTCGGCCCCAAAGGCCTGCGGGCCTGTGCCCGTCTGATCGAGGGTCCTCGAAACGAGCGAAGCTCCCCCCGAGTGAACCTTAAGGTTCTCCCCCTAACGTCCGAATTCGAGCCGAGCCCATGTCACCGGAGTCCTGGCACGTTCGCAGAGACAGTCTCGCGAGTTTCTTTCATTGTAGGGAGGTGAGGCTTAGTTCTTCGGAACAATGGAATTTCCACCCAAATTTCCTGACAAGTTGTGCCGTTGCTTGCTGGGAAGGACACGCATATGAACTGGGCTCGTGCTATTTCGGGAGCGCTTAATTGAACGTGTGCACGCCATCCAAGACATGAGTCAAGTCGTGCTTTGCTTCTCCCACCATGCCGACGAACGTGCTCGATGACTGGTTGTGGGTCATCGACTCGATTGGACGACGAGGAATGGCGAATATTCAGATTGCGGATCGCACTCGCTCGAACAAGGTCGACACAGATCCCCCGCGAGGTATTAATCAGACTCGGGGAAATACCCAACGTCTCTACGATTTTCCATACTCGGCCATTGTTGAACAAATTCGGAATTCGGGGTCCGAAACATATCCAATTTGTACGAACTGATATTGCTACTGGATTGGAACATGACGTCATCGACTGCTTAACGAGCGTCGAGGAGTTCAGCTGCCTCGCTGCTCGCGGTTGGAAGGTAGGGGGAAGATTGTCCCCTTACCCACTTCATAGAATTTCGGATAAAATCTTTCGTTTGTTTTGAACGCCCTCGCGAACACTCGCTCGCTCGAGAGATGCCTGTCGGCATTGGAATGATCCATGATGAGAGCTTGTTTGTGGCAGAGCGAAGACGGAGCTCTTCGACGAACGACGACGGAAGGCTTTTCCCGGACGGGTGTCTAATGTAGGAAATATGTCTCAAACTTTAAGACACGGTGACTTCTCGGGACGGCACATAGGAGAGTCATCCCCTAGTTTTCTCAATCACTCACCTGGCCCGTTCCCTTGTAGGTGATATCAGAGGAATTTTGTCAGCTGATCGGAACTTCACTGATGAACACCCTGCTAGTTCCGGTATACCATCCGACGAACTCTGATAGACTCACACTGGTAGCATGCGTAGCCAACAAGAGCTCGTCGCAGTTCGACGAACAGGATCGAGTCAGGGTGAGTTCTTGCAGAACGCTTCAAAATGTTCTCGATTCCTTCGACTTCACCTTTCAACTCTGACGTATGCAAGGGAAAAGAATGATTCGACCCCGTTCCGCCCGGTCTCGAACCTCAAGGAAATTCCCAGGGAGTCTTCCCTCAGATCCTGCTCTTCTATCATATGCCGGTCCCCTCGTAGCTACTCGTCCATGTATCTTTCCGTCGAAGAATGAGGTGGAACGTCGATCGCTACGGCCAGAAACAGATCTGTTGACCGGATATTGCCGCTAATCGATCAGTGGAGTTGAGGTTATCCAGGACCCCGGATACGAGCCTAAGCAGCTGAGAATTCCCTCCCGACAGGTCTCCGACTGCATGAAGGCTGTATCACCGATGATCCTCCGAACCATGGCCTACGAGGAAGAGAAACGGCTCCGGGAGGAATGCAAGAGTCTCTTGACGGTTGCAAAAAATCTCTTCACCCATCTCGGTAAGTACAGTTTTTTTTTTTGTCCGCGCCTCTCGCGATTCCCCGAAATATCACGTGAAATCACGCTCCTTCAGCGGGTCGGCGAGGGAGAAAGTAGGTTTCTACGACTCTGTTAGGAAAACCTGTCAAACATATCACGCGTTCCAAGAGCGCACTTCAAGTGACACTGCTTCTTGTCGCCCATCGATGCGGCGCTTGATTGTTGGACCAGCGCGTGTATTGAGTAAGAAGGAGAACATCGCTCGCTCGCTCGCTTGCAAGACGAGGTGCGTGTCGATGTTGCGTTTCTCATTCAAACCCACTCGAATCGATCTTGCATCTAGATGTCGCTCGAAATCTTCGATGATTACTCGGCTTATCAGGAAGCGCATCTACATCAGAAAACGATCGCGCATTCATAGAGTGACAGCGTTAGAGCTTTTCCGACGAATCGATTCGCTCACGACGTAATCGTCGCGACATATCGAGATGCTCTGCCCTGGCTCGCGCCTGGCGTCGCTGTGTCGACGCACGGAGCAGCAGGACCTGTGAATCGATCTGTTCAATAGATCGACCGCGTGTTAATTGACGTTTTCTCGTCGTCGCCACCTGGGGATAGAATAATTCCACCTTTTTCTGTCTCTCCCGAGTGTGGCTGCTCAAGGGATTGGAATCGTGCGTCGCACGAGCTCCAGACGGGAATCCCAGTTCTCCGTCTGGTCAGCTCTGGACAGTCGCTGTAGCCCCAAGGGTAGTCCAGTATATTATCTGGGCGAGCCTCGGACATGTATATTTTTTGTCCCGGGATACTCATAATTCAAGAGGCTTCCGGGCGAGACGTCATCCTTTCGGAACGGAAGCGTTCACAGCTCATGTCATACGGAAACGGCGCAGTCTCATTCCCGGGGGACATCGCCACTCGTCGTATTTTCCGGGTACCTGTAGGAAACAACTCACCAGCCGGCAGTGCTCAGGTGTGCTCTCTTTCTCTCAAGAATACCGAGACAGCTCTCTCACCGTGATACATTGGAAAGGGAGGATCGTGAAAGACATTCAGGAGCTCGGGTCTGTCTCCAGGAGGTCGGATGAATTCATCGCTCGCTCCGTACATTTGCGTCCAGACAGACCCTGGTTCTGATCCGAGGAAACGTCATGGAAAACCTTTCTTTATCGTCCCTAAACCGGTGTTCCAGGGGTGACACCGACCGAGGTAACTCCGAGAGTCTCGGGGCCCCTCGCCTCCGCGACATACGGGGAATATTGCCGTGGCTTTCAGACTCGCTGGAAAGTTGAGCTCCGTCGGGTGAGCCCGAAACGATCGATATCCGTACAAGGGATCCGTCATCTCAACGTTTGGAACAGAGGGTCGCCGATGGCCAGAATCTAGTTGCGAATCGTAAGACGTCGACAAGGCTTTTTGAAGGATTTCGCCGGAGGCCTCTTCCAAACTCGGTCGGTCATGTTGTAAGCTAGCGTTTCCACCATGGAAAGTGCGTATCCCGCCCGAAAATGTCTCCGGCCTCCAGCTTTCGATAATCGCCTCGAATTCGTGATTTCAAGCGACGCAAATTCCTGAGCGAGCGATTCCTCCGATGTCGCGAGCTGACACGCCGCATTTGCGCGAGCAAACAAGCCTCAATCCGAGGCTGAAGTTCTCTCCCTGCGAGTTAGCTCCGCGGGGTTCTCTCCCCCCTCGCCCCCGCGTGAGTGACACGGCGGGGGTTTTCATCTCGCGGACAGGCAGAGAAAGCGAGGAAAAAAAAAGACTCTTGTTTGCTGTGGTCTTCTACCGCGGAATCCAATTTCCGGGGAGCGGACACAAGAAAAAAAACACCCAGAAAGAAGTGCCGGGCTCTTTCCCCCGTATCGCATCGTTGACATCCTCCAAGAATTGTCATATGCACGCACTGCTGTTTTAATCGCGAGCCACTGGCTCGGTCGCTTGCCTGTGCGTCACGGTTGTCAATCGTACAAATTCTTGGGAGCGTCGTGCTGCAGGATGGATGTGAGAGATATGTACGTACCCGGAAGTGAATCGACTCGTCGTACTCGCCGGAACTTGCGTGCACCACGTGCCTCTAGGTTTGCGTGGTCCGAGCGGTCGCACGAACGCCGGCGACGACGACGATAATAACAATAATATCAACGAATCTCGCTCGAAGGTCCGAAGAGCATGTTTACTTGGTGCTGCTTGTGGAGCTGTTGGTGATTTAAATTCTCGAACCTCGCGGGACCCCCTCCCCCTTCCTGTCCGCAACAGTGGCGCAGCGAATTCTGCGCACCCGGCGAAATGGTAATATTTTTTCTCTACTGCCATTATGTTGCATTTTTCGAAGTCATGCCCGCTGGTTCCGGGTTTCGTCCGACCCACCACCGGCGCATGTTTGTCGATTGCTGAGATGCCGGAGACGGGGAAGTGCTTCGCAAAGTGCTCTTAGGTGCGGAGGCCGCAAACGTCAAAAAGCATGCTTTACCGAATGCGAGAAAAGAAGTAGCGAGCGAACGAATCAACGAAACGACCCTTGAACGCTGGGTATCGCTCCGAGCCGTCAGGTCAACCCTTAGAAAATATATAGGTTTTTGTCTCCCCGTGAAATATTCTCTCGGAGAGCCGTATTTCGACGCCTTTCGGCGACTTCCCACGGGCGATGAACTCGGCTTTGTATCACGAGATGCACGCGATCGATATGCCTTGTCGATGAAACCGAGTCACCTCCTCCTCTGTCGAGCTCCGCATTCGGCTCGAATAGGTTGCCGGAGATCCGCGTTCCCCCACATCCCGCCCAAGGGAACTGTATCGCTCCGAGTTGTGAAGTCACTCATTGACGTCGGATCCTGGCGAGGCAGCATCGATATTACCTCATCCATCAAAATCAAAGGACGAACGGCGGCCTTGAGAGCTTGAGGCGAGAGAGGTCCAGCCCCAGCGGGCGTGCGGTAATCTGACTTTTCGTCGTCGATATTGAGAGCTTCCAGCAGGTTAGGGACCTTTGCGGGAATGGGATCAAGTGATGATTTATCGAATACTTTTAATCCGCCGAAGTTCCTCATTCGCCCATTGATTCATACATATGACGCTTCGAGGCGTGACCATCGGAATCCGGTTTATCATTGGTGATCCTACATCTATCCGACTCTGTTCGACGCCCGCAGATAATAATTCTCGTTGGTGGTTGATTCGAAAAAAGAATTCATTCATTGGATATTTCGGAAAGCGGAGCACGGGTGGACCTTTCTCTTCACTGAAGCCCCATCGATGACCCTTCAGTTCGCGACTCTGGGAAGATGAATTCCGTCCCGCGAGCTCAGAACTCTCGCGGTTTTGACCACTGGGCGGATGGATGGGCCCTGCCAGCGAATCAGCTCGAAATTCCATGAGAAATCTCGCGGAATAGCCACAGGCGGGGTTTGAAGGGCGAACGCAAGGGGGTGCGAATCCATGGAACTCTTTATTGTACTGCGATCGTTAGGATGGCATTGTTACAAGAATTCACCCATCGCATGATCTAGCGGGTACTTTTGCTTCCAAAATCGCTCCTCGTTGTGTATTCCCGGATGGCACCGACTGCGAAAGGATGAGGATCTATCCCCAGAGCCCCTGCCGGATCAGAGATTCTGGAAGTTCTAGGATTCGTTATCGGAAATCGCGCACCGCCTCCTACGCTGCTCGAGGCTTTCGGTGAACTCCGGATTGTACCGACCCCGCTGTATGTTCTAGAGCCCCATAGACGACTCGGGGGGAAAAAACTTTTGGAGACTTCATAGTCAGAGGGTGGCCCGCGAAGACACTATTCTGAGGTTCTCAAGTTTCGATGTAAAGAAGAAAAACAGCGACCGAGCCCCCCTTCGGAGAAAGATGCGAGGTCGGAGGAGCCCGATTCTGGACGGCTTTTCGTTAGCACCAGCGATACCGCGATCTCGCTTCAGCCAGCAGGGGATCACGCCGCGATCGGGAGAAATTTCATTGCGCCACTCCACAACGATATGAATCTCGCACAGGGTTTATCCCTTTACGACGTCTACGAGCTCCGGTCCAATCAGGATCCTCGGAATCGCGAAAGAATCGAACGAATTCGTCGATTCGTCTCGTGGAGGGAAGAAAACGGTGGCTTATAGAATGATTCATCCTAAAGGAATTCAACAGTCAGCGAACGAGGCCTTTGGCCGGGAAAGCCCTCTGTGGCGCCACTTGATGCGGCGCGCATCCGCCTGCCCGTTCGTCAACGTTCTCTTCTGGCCCTTGGATATTCTTCGAGCCCTTCTGGAAATCGAGGTCGGAACGATATCGAGGTTTCCATGAATCGAAACTTCTCGAATTGACCGCGGAACGTCTCGAGGCTCGAACGTCGAGCACCCTGCGCTCTCACGATCCGGTCCCTGAGTGGGTTCCGAGACCCTTAATTGAACGATGAAGGGAATTCCTCAGATCCCTCGGACCGATGGACGCGTCGTATTCCAGCCCGGAGAACTCGAAGGGAGCTGTTCCGTCTTCCCTCAGTCAGTGTTTTCAACATTCCCGAATGACATTCATTTCCCTTGTACGACTTCCGTACGGGTTTCCTCGGTGGTCGGGTCGGGCCCACGACATATTTCTCCGTAGATGTTCTTCCTCGGTCGGAGATCAGGTCGAGTGACCGACTCTGTTGGTCGCCTGCGGCCCGAGAGAGCAACGAAAGCGGTGAATTAAAGTTCAGTGTTCGCGTTTTCTCCCGAGGAGATTTCGCCTTGAGCGAGCGGCCGGGCTAGATGGCGCCTGTGGTGGAGAACTGTCGGTAGCGGCATGCCCGCTCACGATGAAGCGTCATTTCTGACGTCACGGGGTCTACCCTAGCAAAAGCAGTCCGTCTGACGGTTTGCCTGTTCGCTGGCTCGTCAGCTCGGTCGATCGCTTACTCGTCAGCGCTCGACTGCCGCGGAGTGAACGAACCAAGCTTCGGACAACGGCTTATGAAACAAGAACACGAACGATATCTCGTCGTCTTGAGCCGTTTTGAGGCTCGTCTCGCATTGAACTGCGAACT